TATTTATTTATTTATGGTTGTGGGTCCTGAACTCTGGGCTGGGGTGCTGTCCCTCAGCTCAAGGCTAGTGCTCTACCACTTGAGCCATAGTGACACTTCTGGCTTTTTCTGCTTATGTGGTGCTGAGGAATTGAACCCAGGGCCTCATGCATGCAAGGCAAGCACTCTTCCACTGAGCCACCTTCCCAGACCCAATAAATTTTTTTTTTTGGGGGTCTGGTCGTGGGGCCTGAACTTTGGGCCTGGGCACTGTACCTCAGCTCTTCAGCTCAAGGCTAGCGCTCTACCACTTGAGCCACAGCCCACTTCGGGCTTTTTTCTTTTTGCTTATGTGGTGCTGAGGAATCGAACCCAGGGCCTCATGCATGTAAGACAAGCACTCTTCCACTGAGCCACCTTCCCAGACCCAATAATTTTTTTAAAATGTACTCATTACCTGACTTATAATTATAACCCCACTGTATATCATCTTTAATAATTCAAAAAAAATGTAAAAAGGCAACTGTAATCAACAACCAACTATTCCAATACAATTATAAACCAGGCTCAAATATTTTCCTACATTCATAATAAATATGTATGCTAAAAAGAAGTCAGGCACTGGTGGCTCATGCCTGTAAATGTGAGTTAGTCATGATGCTAACTGTGACCTGAGAATCACGGTTTTCAATACCAGCCCAGGCAGGAAAGTCTGTGAGACTCTTATCTCCAATTAAGCACCTGAACACGGAATGTGGCTCAAAGGGGTAGGAGTGCTAGCCTTGTGCAAAAAGAAAGCTCAGGAACAGCACCCGGTGCTGAGTTCAAGCCCCACAACTGACAAAACAAGAAAAATAAAAAGAAAGGCCTCAGTCCTCTGAGAATTACTTTGGAGAAAGAAATATGTGAATCTGATTCTTTGTTTCAGGGCTGGTCCTGGGGCTTGAAATCAGAGGCTGGTGCTGTCCCTAAGCTTTATTTTTAGCTTGAGGCTAGCAATCTACCACTTGAACCTCAGCTCCACTTCTGGCTTTTTTGGGAGGTGTTTAATTGGAAATAAGGTCTTATGGACTTTCCTGCCCAGGCTGGCTTTGAACCATGATCCTTAGATCTCAGCCTTCTAAGTAGCTAGGATTATAGGTGTGAGCCACCAGCTCTTGCCTGGATCTGATTCTTTTAGAACCTTAGTCTTCAGGAAGCTTCATGGAGAGGCAAGGTACAAGAATTGTCTAGAAAAGGAGCAAGGGCATCCAGCAAATGCATTATGTGCTTCCCAAAGCTGAGGGGACCAGCAAGATCTGATAATGCCCTTGGGAATCACTCAGAAGATTCTGGGTCTTTCCAGGCTCTTCCACTGGAACCAGCACCCCTGAGTACTATACCTATTTGCTGACAAATTCCTTTATCATTGGAACTCAGATTGCAAACATTGGATCCTCAGATCTCAGCCTCCTGAGTTGCTAGGATTACAGGTGTGACTGGCACACAACTCAATCATTTGTTCATTTTTTTTGTGGCTCATTCATTACAAAGAACATTTCTGATCTCTCCATTCAGTCCTGCGCATGTTTCAGGCTAAGCTCCAGAATCATCTTCCTCCAAAGTTCTGACATCAATGTGGGCTCTTTGTGAAATGTGGCTTAGTACCTTCTGCTTTCTTTTCTCATTGTCTCTCTGTCCCTCTCTTTTGTTGGGAGATAGGCACTTGATGCTTTGCTTGTTGCCTGGCGCTCTACCAACTGAGCCACGTTTCCAACCCCACCTTCTGCTGTTTTGCATTAGCTTGTGGTTATAGCCAGGCTGCAGGCTTGGCTGACTTATTCTAGGCCCACCATATCCTAGGCTATGTTTGCAAAAACATTTTAATGTTCTTTTTAAAAAAATCAAATTGAAAAAGGCTAAAGTCATAGCTAAAGTGATAGACTGTCTGCCTAGCAACTGTGAGACACTGAGTTCAAACCCCTCTACCACTGGAAAAGAAAAGAAAAAGCCAAGTACTCCAGTGGTGCACACCTGCAATCCTAGCTACTCAGAAAGCTGAGGTATGAGGACTGCAGCTTAAAGTCAGTCCAGTCAGGAAAGTCCATCAGACCATCCAATTAACCAACAAAATTCTGGAAGTGGATCTGGGTGCCAGTGCCTCAATCTTGTAATCCTAGCAATTTAGGAAGCTGAGATCTGAGGATTGAAGCCAGGAAAGTCCATGAGACTCTTACCTCTAATTTAAAACAAACAAACAAACAAAACCTAACAAAAAGCCAGAAGTGGAACAATGGCTCAAGTGGTAGAGAGCTAGCCTTGAGCAAAAAAAGCTCAGTGACAGCACTCAAGCCTTGTGTGCACATGTGCGTGCGCACATACACACACACACACACACACACAATCAGAAGGGGAATATAACAATAATAAATATTGCCAGGCACCAGTGTCTCATGCCTGTAATTCTAGCTTCTAGGGAGGCTGAGATCCAAGGATGTCGATTAAAAGCCAGCCTGGGCAGGAAAGTCTGTGAGACTCTTACCTCCAATTAAACACCAAAAAGCCAGAAGTGATGCTGTCCTCCAGTGGTAGAGAACTAGCCTTGAGCACAAAAGCTAAAGGACAGCTCCTAGGTTCTGAATTCAAACCCCAGGACCCACACAGACAGACAAACAGATAGATAGACAGACAGACACAGACACACACACAATAATAAGTATATAACAATGAATTTAGCCAATCTGATACACCACACAGAGGCAGATATTTGCAAATGCTTACTGATGAAGGAAAGGGTACTTGGCAAAAATGCCCAATATCCACCAATGTCCAAATGTGGCCCTGACTGGGTTGTTTGTGCCCTGTTGCTCAGCCCAGTCTCTCTCTCTCTCTTTTTTCCCTGCCAATCCTGGAGCTTGAACTCAGGGCCTGGGCACTGTCCCTGAGTGCTCTACCACTTGAGCCACAGCACCACTTCCAGCTTTTGCTGTTTATGTGGTACTGAGGAATAGAACCCAGGACTTCATGCATGCTAGGCAAACACCCTACCACTAAGCCACATTCCCAACCCTCAGCCCAGTCTCTTGCACAGGTCTCTGCCCACTTCTGGAAGTCCTGTGAGGCTACACACTATTTCCTGATCCCTCACGTGTTGAACACGCATGTCACAGAATTAACAGTCTAAAGGCCCACATGAGGGCACCTCTTACATGTGAGCTATGCTGTGTACCCTTGTTTCTATCTGCAGAGTCTGCCTAAGCAGAATCAAACCTGGGCACTTAGAATTATAAACTTATGCTAGGGGCTGGTGGCTCACACCTGTAATCTTAGTTATTTCAGAGGCTGAGAGCTGAGGATCATAGTTCAAAGCCAGCCTGGGCAGGGAAGTCTATGAGGTTCTTATCTCTAATGAAACACCAGAAAACCCCAAATAGAGCTGAGGCTTAAAGTGGTAGAGCACTAGCATTGAGTGAAAAGGCTCAGGACAATGCCCAGGCCCTCAATTCAAGCCCCATAACCAACAAATAATTAAACAAATTTGTGGGAAGTGAAAACTGGAAGGGATGCTTCCTTCATTTCAAAAACATTTCTTGAGCACCAATAATTTGTAGACAAGTATTCCTTATCTTTATCCTTCAAGGCTGGGGTTCTACCACTTGAACCACAGCTCTATTCCTGGATTTTTTTTCCTTTTGGTGATTAATTGGAATAAAGAATCTCACAGATTTTCCTGCCTGAGCTGGCTTCGGACCTCAATCCTCAGATATCAGTCTTCTGAGTAGCTGGGATTACAGGCATGTGGTGCCATGGTTGCCTAGACCAAGACATATTCCTTTTTTTTTTTTTGGGTCCGGTCGTGGGGCCTGAACTCTGGGCCTGGGCGCTGTCCCTCAGCTCTTAACTCAAGGCTAGCACTCTACCACTTGAGCCACAGTGCCACTTCCGGCTTTTTTCTTTTTGCTTATGTGGTGCTGAGGAATCGAACCCAGGGCCTCAGGCATGCAAGGCAAGTGCTTTACCACTGAGCCATCTTCCCAGCCCCCCAAGACATACCCTTACAGAAGGACTTCAAGAGGTTTAAGAAACCTTTCATGCCGGGCCCTGGTGGCTCACTCCTGTAATACTAGCTACTGAGGAGGCTGAGATCTGAGGATCATGGTTCAATGCCAGCCGGACAGGAAAGTCCAAGAGACTCATCTCCAATTAACCTCCAGAAAACCGGAAGTGGTACTATGGCTCAAGTGGTAGAGTGTGAGCCTTGAGCTGAAGAGCTCAGGGACAGCGCCTAGGCCCAGAGTTCAAGCCTCAACAACAACAAAAAAGAATCCTTTCATGTGGAAGAAAAATTTGGGATGTGCAGGTGAAACTGAACTTTCTAGAAACATGGACATTCAAATGCTAAAGGTTAAGGTCTCCACAATGTCAAGACCACTCATTAAAGGTCATTATCCAATTTTTTTTTTTTTCACAGTAGAAAAAAACTGAGGCCCAGAATTGGGAAATGATGCATCTGTCATACAACTAGACAAGGACAGAGACAGGGCTCCCAGTCCTTTGGTGTCTTCACAAGAATACCCTAAGCCAGGCATCTGTAGTTCACACCTGTAATACCAGCTACCCAGGAGGCTGAGATCTGAGGGTCACAGTTCAAAAGACAGCTCAATGGCTGGGAATGTGGCTTAGTAGTAAGTGCTTGCTTAGCATGCATGAACCCTGGGTTCAATTCCTTAGTACCACATATACAGAAAATGCCAGAAGTGGCACTGTGGCTCAAGTGGTAGAGTGCTAGCCTTGAGCAAAAGAAGCTCAGAGACAGTGGCCAGGCCCTGAGTTCAAGCCCCAGGACTGGCAAAAACAAAACAAAACACAACAAAACAAAGAAACAAAGCCAGCCCAGTCTGTAAGATTCTTATCTTCAATTAACCAGCAGAAAGCAGGAAGTAGAGCTGTGGTTCAAAGTGGTAGAGCGTTAGCCTTGAGCAAAAGAGTTCAGGGATAGCACTCAGGCCTTGAGTTCAAGCCCTACCTCTAAGAGAGGGGGTGGGGGAGGAGGGAGAGGGAGAGGAGAGATAAAGAGAAATACCCTCCACTCATTGGCTAAATAGGAGCCATCAACCGAGGTGCTTCTTTGAGCCTCTGGATTCCAAACCTTTGGATTTCAAACATCCCCTTACTCACTAAATACACATTCTCTTTCTCCACCCCCCCTCTTCCGGTTGTCTTTCTCAACATTCCCCCACGTTCACCCATGGACGCCCATGGCTGAGCCGGCCTGGAGTCAAATGCAGATAACCTCTCTGAGGGATGAATAAACATCAGTGGGTGTCCGGAGCCGAAGAATGTAGAAATGGATTCTTTTCCTTCTGAGCACTGGACATCTGGCAGATTGTGTCAAAGTTGCCGTGGCCTGGGGCCCTCTGAGTTCCCATCTGGATGAACCCCACATAATTTCTCACTGCACAGGAGCAGGACGCCTCTCACAGGACTGCAGTCTGCCTCTTTCTCTCTCTCCACTGGCCTTCCGTGGCTCCCAGTTCCCAGCCAGGGGTGGCCAGCTGTGGCTAGCCTCCACTTGAGCAGCACGTGTTTCACAGCATACCTGTGGGAAGTTTGATGTAGAGACAAGTGGTTTGAATTTAATACGAGGACACAGGGGAGCTCATTAGAAAGCTTCATGGTGATCAGTGGATATTTATTTGATCCTACTTTTGAGAGAACTCAATCTCAGGAAAAAGAGTACTGGATTTGAAATCCAGCAACACTCCCCCTCTTCCCCTTAACTACTTAAATTTTTTCTTCTTTCTTGCACGCACACGTGTGTGTGTGTGTGTGTGTGTGTGTGTGTGTGTGTGTGTGGTGTTTTTCTGTTTTTGAAGATGGGGTTGAACCCAGTACCTTGTGCATGTAAAGCAAGCATTCTACCACTGGATACTCCCAGTTCCTAAAGTCAACCTTTCTTCCTTCCCTCCTTCCCTTCCTTTTACTTTCCTTCCTTCCCTCCCTTCTTTCTCTATTTTCTTTCTTTCTCTTCCTTCCTCCCTTCTTCCCTCCCTTCCTTTTGTCTATTTCTTCCTTCCTCTCTGTCTCTGACTCTTTTCTCTTTCCAAAATTATAGTCAAAAGAATTAGGCAGGGCTGCCAAAGTGGCTTAGTGGTAGAGTGCTTGCCTAGCATGCATGAAGCCCTGGATTTGATTCCTCAGTACCACATAACAGAAAATGCCAGAAGTGGTGCTGTGGCTCAAGTGGTAGAGTGCTAGTCTTGAGCAAAAGAAGCTCAGGGACAGTACCCAGGCCCTGAGTTCAAGCCCCAGGACTGGCAAAAGAAAAAAAAAAGAATCAGGCATAAATGTACTAAAGCTCTATTGAAACTTATTTTTTAAACCTTAAGACCCAAACAAGTGGCTGAAGATTGACTCTTGGGGTTGTAGATTCGCCCTCATCCCTAGTCCTCATGCTAAGGAGACCGAAGATGGATGGCTGGGAATATCTGCAGACCTGCCACCACCTAACCTGTACATACAATGTCTGGAAAGGGAGTGTGAACAACTTCATGCAATTCTCATTGCTGTTTGCTAGTCTTGCTTCAGCTAGGACAAGTGCCAGGATCATTTCAGAATATGTGTACAGTGTCCTGGAACCTATTTTCGGAAACAGAGAGTGTCACTGAATCACACTCCTGTCATGCTGGCTAGGAGTACGGATTTGTTTCTCTGCTGATTAAAGAAATAAAAGGCAGAAATGTGTTTAAAGTGGACAGAGCAAGTTAACTTGGACACAAAAGTAGACCATAGGCTCTCCACAGTTTGAGCCCTCAAAGCAGGGGTTCAATGGAGTCCATACCTCTTCCTGAGCTTTTTGCTGGTGGATGATGGCTCATGTGTGCACCGCCTTAGCTCTTTTCATTGATTGAGCCACAACCCCCGGCATTATGGGAAGGAGAAACACTATGAATAGCCATGTTATTTCCACCATTTTTTTTTTTCCAGTTCTGGGGACTGAATTCAGGGCCTGGGCACTGTCCCTGAGCTTCATTTTTGCTCAAGGCTAGCACACTACCCCTTGAGCCACAGTGCTTCCAGCTTTTGCTATTTATGTAGTACTGTGTTCGCAGAGCTTCATGCATGCTAGGTAAACACTCTACCACTAAGCTACATTCCCAGCCCCATTTTTGTTATTGTTGTTTGTCTTGGGGCTTGAACTCAGGGCCTAGGTGCTGTCCCAGAGTTTTTTGCTCAAGGCTGGCACTCTACCACTTTGAGCCATAGCTCCATTTTCAGCTTTTGGTAGTTAACTGGAGATAACATAATTAAGTGTACACAGGAAACAAACACACACACACACACTCTCAAAAAAACAAAGTCAGGCACCCATGGCTCACGCCTGTAATCCCAACTACTCAGAAGGCTGAATTCTGATGTCTATGAGACTCTTATTTCCAATTAACCAGCAAAAACCCAGAAGTGGAGCTGAGGCTCAAGTGATAGTGTACCAGCCTTAAGGAAAAAAAAAAACCATAAAAAACCTGAGAGAAAGCATCCAGGCTTTGAGTTTAAGCTCCAGGAATAGGGAAAAAAAAATAAGATAGGAAAATAATATAGGTTCTGAGTGGGAAAGGGCAGACATCAGCAGGAGAAGGAAGAGCTCAAGAAGAAGTGAATAAGGATGGATATGGTAAAAGTAAATACAAAGAAGGGTGTTATACACACACACACACAGCACAATGAAACCTGTTAAAGAAATGGAACCTGTTTTAAGAGATGTTTTAAGGGCCATGTACCAGTGGCTCATACTTGTAATCCCAGCTATTCAGGAGACCTGAGGATTTTAGTTTGAAGTCAGCTTGTATATAGGACAGTCTATGAGACTCTGATCTCCAATTAACCAGCAAAAACTAGAAGTAGAGGTGTGGCTCAAGCAACAGAGCTCCAGTCTTGAGTGAAAAAGCTAAGAGACAGTGCTTAGGCCCTGAGTTCAAGCCCAACCTAAAAAAAGAAAAAAATAATGGATTAAATTAAAAATAAATAACAAAAATATTAGGAAGTGTACATATAAAAACCCTGTCAATCAGAAGAAGATTCAAAGGCCCCTTCTCACTGATAACAAAATAATAGAATCTAAGTTTCTTTTTTTTTTGGGGGGTCCGGTAGAGGGCCTGAACTCTGGGCCTGGGCGCTGTCCCTCAGCTCTTCAGCTCAAGGCTAGCGCTCTACCACTTGAGCCACAGTGCCACTTCCGCTTTTTTTTTTTCCTGGCTTATGTGGTGCTGAGGAATCGAACCCAGGGCCTCATGCACGCAAGGCAAGTGCTCTACCACTGAGCCACCTTCCCAGCCCAGAATCTAAGTTTCTTAGAGCAAAAGGTTCTAACAGATCCCAATCCTGGGGCTGTTGGGAGTATTGGGTGCTGGTAGCTCTGTCTAGAACATAAGCCTGCAATGAATATTAGATGAAATACATGGCTGGATTTTTTGCTCAAGGCTAGCACTCTACCACTTGAGCCACACCTCCACTTCTGGCTTTTGCTTCTATTTTTATTTTTTTCATGGTTTGAAGCCAGCCCGGGCAGGAAAGACTATGAAACTCTTATCTTCAACTAACTACCAAATAGCTGGAAGTGGAGTTATGGCTCAAAGCACTAGCCTTGAGCAAAAACATTTAACAGGCCCTGATTTAAGTCTCAAAAACAAAAACAAAGGAATAAGTGAGAAGGTGATTATCACACTTCCAATTCAGGTTGCTTGGCTTTCTCCAACTCTGGGTAGTCAGCCTTGGTGATTTATCATCTAGCTTTTATTTGGAAATATATTTGTTCACACACAGAACAATGGATGTCTATGTGTCCATTTGGTGGACTGCTATTTTACCATCCATTAGCTGCTGTTCTGTTCATCATTGAGCACACCCATAGACCTTCAAATTCACATATCCACCACTGGTCTAGACTGCCAGCTTTCATAGATGTATTGTCCTTGTCCCCTTTAATCTGATTACCCACTCCTGCCCTACATACTCAGACAGACACACACACATAAACACTCTCTCTCACACATTGGAGAGGGACACAGAGTTTGGGTGCTGTCCCTCAGCTTCTTTTGCTCAAGGCTATTACTCTACCACTTGAGCCACAGCTCCACTTCTGGATTTTTTTTGGGGGGGTGGTGGTGGTGGTGGTGGTAATTTATTGGAGGTAAGAGCCTCATGGAGCGAGGCGCTGGTGGCTCATGTTTGTAATCCTAGCTATTTAGGAGGCTGAGATCTGAGGATTGCAGTTCAAAGCCAGCCTGGCCAGGAAAGTTCATGAGACTTTATCTCCAACTAAGCACCAAAAGACCAGCAATGGAGCTGTGGCTCAAGTGGTAGCGCACTATAGCCTTGACGAAGAAAAAAAAAGCTCAGGGACAACACCCAGGCTGAGTTCAAGCCCCAGAACCAGTACACACACACACACACACACACACACACACACACACACACACACACACACACACACGCACGCACGCACGCATGCACACTAACAATACTCCAAAATGTACTCAGAATATCACCAATCTGCACACAGAACAACTATGGTTTGAAAAAAAAAAAAACACAAACTGGGTGCTGGTGGCTTACACCTGTGAGCCTAGCTACTCAGAAAGCTGATATCTGCGGATCACAGTTCAAAGCCAGCCTGGGCTGGAAAGTCTGTGAGACTCTTATTGCCAATGAGCCACAGGAAAACCAGAAGTGGTGCTGTGGCTCAAAGTGGTAGAGTGCTAGTCTTGAGCAAAAGAGCTTAGGGACAGTGCTTAGGGTCTGAGTTCAAGCCCCATGACTGACACACACACACACACACACACACACACACACACACAAAACACACACACACAAAAGCAGCAAAGAGTAAGGAAGCATAGGAACCTGAATTGAAACCTGGACAGTGCTCAGGACCTGTCACCATAGTGGAGTATCAGGACCTGGCTGTGATTTCCAGGCCACATGTGCCCTGCTGTATCCAATCAACAGCTCTATGACCAGCTGGTCCTGGGGAACCTGGAGCCAATCATGAAAGACACAACACTACAGTGGCAGCTAAAGTGGCACAATGGGGGACCTGGAGGCCAGGTGATATCCTTGCTGGGATTCGCTGGTCAGTAGTGAGCAGAAGAGCTGCAACCAGGCACTTCTCCTTCAGTGAAAGCCCTCTGGCAGCCCATAAATCAGGATCAGCCCTGCTGATCCTGCTTACTAGATTAGTTGACTGAGTAACTCCATATGTATTATCACCCAGTGGCTTACAGAGCTGCTCTGGAAGGCTCCAAGGCCTGACTGATGTGGGCCCAGGGGAGGGGAGACCAATGTTGTCTGAGCAACTCAGCCTATAGAGATGACCAGCTCTACCTTCTCCACTGGGCTGAGCCACTCTACACTTAGCTCTGACCCTGTTCTGCATTTTGCAGGCTCTATTAGAGGCAAAACTTTCTGGCAATTTTAGGAACATCCATTAACAAAGAGTCTTAAAGCTGGGTACCAGTGGGTCACACACCTGTAATCCTAGCTACTTAGGAAGCTGAGATCTAAGGATCCAAGTTCAAAGGCAGCTTGGGCAAGAAAGTTTGTGAGATTCTTGTTTTTTTCTTTTGGTCATTCATGGGACTTGAACTCTGGGCCTGGGTGCTGTCCCCGAGCTCATTTTCCTCAAAGCTAGCTTACTACCACTTTGAGCTACAGCTCCACTTCCAGTTTTCTGGTGGTCAACTGGAGAAAACAGCCCTGCCTTGGATGGCTTTGAACCTCGATCCTCAGTTCTCAGTCTCCTGAGTAGCTAGGATTACAGGCCTGAGCCACCAGCTCCCTGCCTGTAAGACTCTTATCTCCTATGAGCCACCAAAAAACTGGAAATGGAGGCATGGTTCAAGTGGTGGTGTGACCCTTGCCTTGAACACAGAAGTCAAGGGAGAGCTCCCAGGGCCAGAGTTCAAGCCCCAGTATCAGTACACGTGCATGCTCTCTTCTCTCTCTCTCTCACACACACACAATAGTTTAAGAGTGAAAGAAAATTCAAGAATGATAACTATGATAGGTGAGTTGTGAGAGAACAAGGAAGGTGAATTCGGAGGCAAATGAAATTGTTATCTGTGATGGTTAATTTTGTAGAGGAAACTTATAGGCATCAATTGGATTCAGTTTAGATTCACCCAGCTGATTAGTAAAGCACACCTCTGGGTCTGGGGGCTTTCTATAGAAGATTAATTCAAGTGGAAATTCCTCCTAAATGTGGGTAGCACCATCTCATAGGCTGGCTTTCCACACAGAAGTAAGGGGTGTGTGTGTGTGTGTGTGGTTGGGGGGAAAGGTGTGTGTGTGTGTGTGTGTGTGTGTGTGTGTGGTTGGGGGGAGAGAATCCTGCAATCCAGGCATTCTCTTTCCCTCTCTTACCCCTCTTCCTGCTTCCTGGCCACCATGAGTTGTTCTGCTCTGTAATGGTTACCTGAAATGTGACACTGAGCAAAATAAATCCTTTCTCCCTTATTTCTGTCAAGTATTTTGTCACAGCAGCAACAACAAAAATATATGACTAGCACATAGCCCAATCCTCCTCTTTCTACCTCTTTTATTTTTTGGCCAGTCCTGGGGCTTGAACTTGGGGCCTGAGCACTGTCGCTAAGCCTCTTTGTGCTCAAGGTTATGACTCTACCACCTGAGCCACACAGCTACTTCTGGCTTTTACTGAGTAGTTTATTGGAGATGAGTCTCACAGGGAGCCGAGCATTGGTGGTTCACGCCTGTAATCCTAGCTACTCAGGAGGCTGAGATCTCAGGATCATGGTTCAAAGCCAGCCCAGGCAGGAAAGGCCGTGAGACTCTTATCTCCAATAAACCACTCAGAAAACTGGAAGTGGCACAGTGGCTCAAGTGGTAGAATGCGAGCCTTGAGCTGAAGAGCTGAGGGACAGTGTTCAGGCCCAGAGTTCAAGTCCTATGACCGACAAAAATAAATAAATAAAAAGTTTCACAGGGACTGGAATGTGGCTTGCCTAGTGTGTATGAAGCCTTAGTACCACATAAACAGAAAAAGCTGGAAGTGGTGCTGTGGCTCAAGTGGTAGAGTGCTGGCCTTGATCATTGAGAGGCTCAGTGACAGTGCGCAGGCCCTGAGTTCAAGCTGCAGGACTGGCAAAAAAAAAAAAAAAAGAGTCTCATAGCCTTTTCTTCCTGGGCTGGCTTTGAACTGCTACCCTCAGATCTCAGCCTTCTAAGTAGCTAGGATTAAGGTGTGAGACATGGGTGATGGTCTGCCTTCCACCTCTTCTTCCCCCTTCTCTCCCATTCCCTTTACTCCACCTGTCTCCCTGTTCTTCTACTTTCTCCTTCCTCCTTTTACAGCTTCCCCTCCTTTCCCCCTCCCCCTCTGCCTTCTTCTCCAGGGCCTCACCATGCTAAGTAAGTAACAGGCTTTACCACTGAACTAGACATCCAGCCCAAGGTTGCCATCTTTACTTGATGAAACAAACAGCTGGCTTCAATGGGTTGCTGACTGTGTGCTAGGCACCAATCCACCTTTTGCTATGTGAACTTGCTAATAAACTCGTGGGATAGGTATTGATCATCTTTGCCTTATAGACCAAGCCACTGGACCACAGAGCAAACAATTGACCAGGGCCTAAGATCACAAAATTTCAATCTTGGGGCCACAAAAATACTAACAGAGCCATGAACTTAATCACATCTGTGGATGTTGATTCCTTGGTACAAGAATGTTAGGGTAAGGAAAGATGAAGGCTATAAATGGTGTTTAATTTGAAGCTGAGCTTTGTGATAGGAAAGACCAGGATAAAAGACCCAGCACTGGCATTTACTAACTTGTACATCACAAACAAGTCATTTTAGTTCTTTGCCTCAGTTTATCTACCTGTAAAATGGAGATACTCAGAGCTCCCTTCCTCATAGAAGAACAGGTTCCTAGCCAAGCGCCATTGGCTCACACCTCTAATCCTAGCTATTCAGGAGGTTGAGATCTGAGGATCACAGTTCAAAGCCATCCTGGGTAGGAAAATGCATGAGACTTATCTCCAATTACCCACCAGAAAACCAGAGGTGGCACTGTGGCTCAAAGTGGTAGAGTACTAGCCTTAAGCAGAAGAGCTCAAGGACAGCACTCAGGCCCTGAGTTCAAGTTCCATGACTAACAACAACAACAACAACAAAGATCAGGTTCCATTCATGTATTTAAGATACTATATTAGGGCTGGGAAGGTGGCTCAGTGGTAGAGTGCTTGCCTTGCATGCATGAGATGCATGAGGCCGTGGGTTCGATTCCTCAGCACCACATAAGCAGAAAAAGCTGGAAGTGGGGCTGTAGCTCAAATGGTAGAGCACTAGCCTTAAGCTGAAGAGCTGAGGGACAGTGCCCAGACCCATGTTCAGGTGCCATGATCGACACACAGACACACACAGACACACAGACACACACACACACTATATTAAGGATGAGATTTGAGAACTGAAGTTCAAAGCCAGCCTACGCAGCTAAATCTGAGAGACTTATCTCCAGTTAACCTGAAAAGAGCTGGAAGTGCAAGTGTGGCTCAAATGGTAGAAGGCCAGTCCAGGTAGCTACCCATTGCTTTCGCTCCAACCTGGCACAGGCCTACCATGAATGACCCAACAACAGATATTTGGTGGTGAGAAACTGAATGAGTGAACTTTACAAGGAGCCTCGCCTCCTGCCATCCCTTCTTGCCCAGCCCCTCTCCGGCTGCAATGTTTATTATTCTCTCACTGTGGGAAAGTAAGTACAGCATAAAATGTGCCATATGAACCAATTATAAGTGCACACTTCAGTAGCATTAAGCATATTCACATTTGCATGCAACCTCATTGATACCAACTTCTAGAACTTTCTCAGTACACCAACCTGAGATTCGGTACTTATTAAACAGTAGTACCATCCATCCCTTCCCCCAGCCCCTGGAAATCCACCATTCTACTTCCTGTCTCTGAGAACATCACTCTTGTAGATCTCCAGTGAGTAGAGTCACATGGTATTTCCTCCAGTGATGGTGATGGTGTGTGTGTGTGTGTGTCCAAGTCCTGAGGGCATGGGCACTATTCTTGAGCACTTTTGCTCAAGGCTAGCACTCTACTACCTGAACCACAACTCCACTTCTGGTTTTTCTGAGGTAGTTAATTGAAGAGTCTTTTGACTCTCTGATCCTCAGATCTCAGCTTCCTGAGTAGCTAGGATTACAGGCACGAGCCACCAACGTTCGGCTAGTGATGAATCTTAACAAATTAGCTCTGCTAGTCTGTAGTACCTCCTTGTTAGGTCAAACATCCAAGTAAATGTTGCTATGATAATATTTTTGGATGTGATTAATCACAGGGGCAAATTTAAATGGGTAGATTTAAATTAATTTTAAACTTGATCTTTCCTAAAGGGAATGGGCTTTATCTAATAATTTGGTGAACTTCAGAGCAAAGACAGAGGTGACTCAAATTCTGCTGCCATATAGAAATTCTACCTGAGTTTCCAATCTATAGGCTTGAGGTTGCAACATCAGCTCTTGCTGGAGCTGTCAGGCCTGACAGCCACATGTATGTATATACACATACAACATACTCATGTATGTGTATATATGTGTGGACACACATATACACATTTAAATGACTTAAATGAATAGACATATGTGTGTGTGTTTGTGTGTATGTGACTACTGGGGCTTGAACTCAGGGTCTAGACACTTTTCCTTAGCTTATTCTGCTTCATACTGGTCCTCTACCACTCAAGCCACACCTTTAGTTCCAGCTTTTTGTTGGTGTGTGGGAGATAAGAGTCTCCCACTGGCTTTGAACTGCAATCCTCAGAACTCAGCTTCCTGAATAATGAGGATTATAGGCATGAGGCACCGGCATAGGACACACGTATGATGTCTTGGTTCTGTTTCAGGAGAAGCCTGTGACACTGGCCATACTTCCTGCATGTGGACCTGATACTCAGCTGCTCCAGGAGCTCAAGTTCACCTGGCAGGAAGTCCCAGGACCCTCCAAGGATTCAGGTCAGGCCTGGGGTCTCATATAGGATGCCAGGTTCATTCTCTGGCTGCTGGCAAAGGAGGCTGTGAAAAGGGGGAGAGGAACTATGAGGAGACTGTTTCGGGAGGTGGTTAGGAGTCTGCCCCCCACCTTTTTTTTTTTTTTGCCAGTCCTGGAGCTTGAACTCAGGGCCTGATCATTGTCTCTGAGCTTCTTTTGCTCAAGGCTAACACTCTACTGCTTGAGCCACAGTGCCACTTCTGGCTTTTTCTGTTTATATGGTACTGAGGAATTGAACCCAGGGCTTCAAGCATGCTAGGCAAGTACACTGCCACTAAGCCACATCCCCAGCATGCTCCCTCCCTTTTTTGATGCTAGTACTAGAGCTTGAACTCAGGTCCTGGGTGCTGTCCCTTAGCTATTTTTCTCAAGGCTAGCAATCTACCACTAGAGCTATAGTTCCACATCAGGCTTGTTAGTGGTTAATTGGAGATAAGAGTCTCACACTGGCTTCAAACCACAATCCTTAAAGCTCGGCCTCCAGAGTAGCTAGGATGACAAACATGAACTATCAGCACCCAGCTCATCGTATTCTTCTCAGTCATACTATTTTCATTTTTAGCTGTGTGGCTCTAGTCAAGTGGCTTAACCTCTCTGAGTCCCATTTCCTGATTTGTGAAAGGAGGATTAAAACACAAACACCACAGTGATAATGAAATGCTCTATGGGGATGGCTATGGACAGTCAATGGAGGAAAAAGTAAATGATATATCCACCTCCGTGCACAGCGGTTATGATTAGTAACCACTCGTTATTATTTGTCATTGTTATTATTTGGGCTGGCCTTGATCTGAGAAGCTACCTGAGACTGGGGGTAGAGGAGTGAACCCCCACTGCTGCCTCTTCCCCACCCCCACCTTACTGGCCCCCCCTTTGAAGTCTCCAGGGGCCTCCAGGCCATGATAAATGTCCCAGCCCTATAGGTTATGACTTGCTGCCAGATTTGACGTTAACCATCGGTGCTCTGGCTATGTGTTTGAAGAAAGTGGCTAAATGCTGCTGGGGCCGATGGGGAGATAGCGGCCTGCTCTAGAAGCTGGGCTTTGAAAGCTCCTTCAGCTGAGGAGGGGGGGGGGGAAGAGGGGAGGGGAGGGGAGAGAGAGAGACACACACACACACACGTATAGAGACAGAGACAGAGACAGAGAAAGAGAGAGAGGGGACACACACACACACACACACACACACACACACACACACACACACACACGGAGAGGAGGCAGCTCCACACAGCTGTTTAGTCTACCAATCACGGTGGTGACAAAGAGTCTGCACTGGCCAGGGCTGCTGGCTGGGCAGGAGGGGCCCCACCTTGCAGCTATTGAGGGGGGGGTTCCCTTTCTTTTCCTTGGGTGCTTGTGTTGTGGGTGTTTTTTACATCTTTCCAGGCTACCAGAAGATGGGATAGGAGAAAGATCAGACTGGCAGAGTTTAGGCATGTTATGGAAAGGCTCATAGTCCAGGGTGTGGACACCCATCTCTGCCTCTTCTGTCCAGGAAAGGTCCTTGCTGGCCTTCGTTTCCTAGTGTTTAGGAGTGAAGCAAAGGCTAGCACGTCCTTCCCAGGGCTCAGGGAGGATTCAGTAGGCCTGAACTAATGCACAGCAGGGGCAGGGGGAATCTGACCTTCAGCACCAGTCAAGGACATGTGGTTAAAAAACTCAGACACCTACCAAAACTCCAGATACCTAGCAGCTTCTATTTCATCCAACACTTGGGAAGAACTAGTTCTTTCCTTCCTCTCCCTCCCTCCCTCCTTCCCTTCCTCCCTCTCTTCCTCTCCTTTTGTCAGTCAGGGGACTTGAACTCAGGACCTGGGCATTGTCCCTGAGTTTTTTTGCTCCAGGCTAGTTCTCTAGCACTTTTAGCCACAGCACCACTTCCGGTTTTCTAGCTAGGATTACAATTTTGAGCTACTGATGCCCAGATCTTCTTTTCTTCTTCCTCCCTCCCTCCTCTTTTCTGTCTTTCAATTTCATGCTGGTTCCAGGGCTTGAACTTAGGGCCTGAGCACTGTTCCTGAACTGTTTGTTTTGGTCAAGGCTGATATTCTACCACTTAACCCACAGCTCCACTTCCAGCTTTAATTGGAGATAAGAGTCTCACAGTCTTTCCTGCCGAGGCTGGCTTTGAACTGTGATCCTCAGATCTCAGCCCCCTAAGTAGCTACAATTATAGTATGATCCACCAACACCTGGCACACTGGTTTTTGTTTTTGTTTTTTTTTTCTGTTGGTCGTGGGGCTTGAACTCTGGGCCTGGGCACTGTCCCTCAGCTCTTTAGCTCAAGGCTGGTGTTCTACCACTTTGAGCCACAGCACCACTTCTGGTTTTCTAGTGTTTTATTGGAGATGAGTCTCGTGGACTTTCTTGCCCAGGCTGACTTTGAAACGCAATCCTCAGACCTCAGCCTCCTGAGTAGCTAGGGTTATAGGCATGAGCTCTGGCACCCGGCCCACCTGGTCTTTTCAAGAACTTTAATCACAGGCAGAGTGGTGCTGTACTGAAACACCAGCCAGGTACTATGAAGAGGACATGTCTCAGTTGGCCAAAGATCGAAGCATTATTAAAACCAATTTATACTGGGGAAACTGAGGCTCAGATAAAACAGATTTACCTAGAGTCAAGAATCTATGACTGGTGCCAATGGCTCACATCTCTACTCTTAGCTCAGGAGGCTGAGGACTGTGATTCAAAGCCAGCTTGGGCAGAAAGGTCTGTGAGACTATTACCTCCAATGAACCACTAAAGAGCCAGAAGTAGAGCTGTGGCTCAAGTGGTAGAATGTGCCAGCCTTGAGAATAAAAGCTCAGGGACAGCACCTAGACTTGGAGTTCAAGCCCTAGGAATAGTGTGCATATGTGCGCACGCATGCACGCGTGTGCATACCTTCAGGTTTGTCTCTTGGGTCACATGTGTTGCTCCAAGGAAAGGAATTGGGACAGGGGCAGGAACTGGGCGTCCACAGCCACTGGCTAACTTGAGATTTTCCTCTGTAATATGGAAAGGAGGATACTTGACTTATATGGTTGTTGGGAGCATTAGATAAGCTAAGGTATGGTGTGTGTGTGTGTATGTGTGTGCACGTGCGTGCATGCACTCAGAGCCCGAGTGCTGTCCCTGAACTTTTTTGCTCAAGGCTGGCACTATATCATTTGAGCCACAGACCCACTTCTGGCTTTTTTGGTGTTTAACTGGAGATAAGAGTCTCATGGACTTTCCTACCCTAGACTGGCTTTGCGCTGCAATCCTCAAATCTCAGCCTCCTGAGTAGCTAGGATCATAGCTGTGATCCACCACTGGCTCCTGCCTATAATAAGGGCTTTTTAAAAAAAAATTTACATTTTATTTATTTTTTGCCAGTTGTGGGGCTTGAACTTTGGGCCTGGGCACTGTCCCTGAGCTCTTCAGCTAAAGGCTAGTGTTCTACCACTTGAGACACAGTGCCACTTCTGACTTTTTCTGTTTATGTGGTGCTGAGGAATCGAACCCAGGGCTCATGCATATGAGGCAAGCACTCTACCACTGAGCCACCTTCCCAACCCTATAATAAGGTTTTAATGAAGGGTAGTTGGTGAGATTGTTCAGTACTTATTCCATGCTGACCTCCTCGGAGACCCCTAAAGTGGAATCAGAGAGGGGCTCTGCCTTCAAAGCACCAGGAGGAGTCAAAATCGGCCAAGTAATGCTGCAGCGACAAACAGCCCAATCTTATTTCTACTAATGACATGTGTTCAAGGTGAGTTAGTAGGAGCTTCTGTTCTTCTTGTAGGGGACAGAGACTACCAGGTAGAATCTCCACTCTGACATACTTTGAAGATCACTGTAGCAAAGGGAAATTAACTCAGGGACTCACACACTGATGCATAGTTTCTACAGCTAATGTGTTTTAGTCTCATGGTTGTACCGAACCTTGAACAGAAAAGTATGTCTACCATGTTCCATGTGTTCCATGGTCTAGGAAGGAAGGCAGGTATGTCAACAACTTCTCACAAGTAATGTGGGCCCATGGGTGAGAAGTTGCTTTGTCGATTTTTAATTTTTAATTTTTGTGCTGATGGTAGAGAGTAGGACTTGAACTCAGGGCCTGGGCACTGTCTCTTAAACTATATTTACTAAAGGTTAATGCGTTACCAGTTGAGCTACAGCTCCACTTCTGGCATTTTTGGTGGTTAATTGTATGTAACAGTCATACACTTTCCTGCCCAGGCTGGCTTTGAACCACAATCTTCAGCTCTTAGCCTCCTGAGTAGTTAGGGTTACAGGCATCAGCTGCCATCTTTTTTTTTTTTTTAAGTCTTTTGTTTCCATGCCTTGGAGTTCATTTCAGTATGTATATTAGAAATATAAAGAGGCACTTAGGCACCTTATCTTGTATATTGATGAGAATTGTGCATTTTCCTGGGAAGAAAGACTTTAACTTTCATTACTCAAGACTTAGGCCACCAAGGGCTGGGATGTAGCTCAGTGGCAGAACGCTTGCCTAGCAAGTGCAACGTCCTGGGTTCAATCCCCAGTACCAAAAAAGAAAAGACAAAAAAAAAATACAGTTTAAAAAAAAAAAAAGACCTAGGCCACCAAATGGTCTCTACGCCTTTCTTATGACATTAGTCTTTGTGTTCATTGCAATGTTTTTTTTTTTTTTTTTTTTTGGGTCCGGTCGTGGGGCCTGAACTCTGGGCCTGGGCGCTGTCCCTCAGCTCTTCAGCTCAAGGCTAGCGCTCTACCACTTGAGCCACAGCGCCACTTCCGGCTTTTTTCTTTTTGCTTATGTGGTGCTGAGGAATTGAACCCAGGGCCTCGAGCATGCAAGGCAAATGCTCTACCACTGAGCCACCTTCCCAGCCCCTCATTGCAATGTTAATGCGCAAACCACCTCAACAGATCAATTTGGCATTTGTCAAAAATGCCAGTTCCCAGGCAGGCAATGGTGGCTTACAGTTGTAATTCTCACTACTCAGGAGTTTGAGATGAGAGGATTGCAGTTCAAAGCCAGCCTGGACAGCAAAGTTTGAGACTCTTGT